GACCAATACTCACTCATCTCAATCCACATGGACAAGGAGAACTACCACTTCGACTGGGACAACACCAAGATCCTGGGACAGGCTAGGCAGAGACAGGCACGAGAATTCCTAGAAGCACGGCACTCCACGAAGCATGCTATTAATAAATACATTGAACTCGACCCCATATACATTCCACTACGGAGGAAACCCGGAAGTGAGGCAATCCATCGCAACGGACCCCAGAGTTTAAAAACCAGGCGGGAAAACACACCGACGCTTCATCAGAGGCTGCACTGAGGATGTTACCAAGTACGGTAACGAAACGTCTGCGGAACAACAAACCAGCTCGGTGAGCCAACCAACCTCAACACCCACAACTCAAGCTACAGATCTACTCCAAAACCCTAGATGAATTAAATATTGGAATGTCATAAAAACCCAATACATTCATTGATGCTCTTTGGGGGAGAAAACCTGTCTAGCTTCTATATCTAGCTTCACCTGCACATCTGCTAATGTGGTATATTGTATCCGCTGTTCTCGTTGTGGCCTCCTCTACATCGGGGAAATCAAGCGGAGGCTTGGGGACTGCTTTGCGGAACACCTACGCTCGGTTCGCACTAAACAACCGCACCTCCCAGTCGCGAACCATTTCAACTCCCCCTCCCACTCCTTGGACGACATGTCTATCCTGGGCTTCCTGCATTGCCACAATGATGCCACCCGAAAGCTGCAGGAACAGCATCTCATATTTCGTTTGGGAACCCTGCAGCCCAAGGGTATCAATGTGGACTTCACAAGCTTCAAAATCTCCCCTCCCCCGACCGCATCCCAAAACCAGCCCAGCTCGTCCCCGCCTCCCTAACCATTCCTCCCACCTCAAGCCCCACCCTCATCTCCTACCCACTAACCTCATCCCACCCCCTTGACCTGTCCGTCCTCCCTGGACCGACCTATCTCCTCCCTACCTCCCCACCTACACTCACCTTCACTGGCTCCAACCCCGCCTCTTTGACCTGTCTGTCTCCTCTCCACCTATCTTCTCCTTTATCCATCTTCTATCCGCCTCCCCACTCTCTCCCTATTTATTTCAGAATCCCCTTCCCCTCCCCCATTTCTGAAGAAGGGTCTCAACCCGAAATGTCAGCTTTTCTGCTCCTCTGATGCTGCTTAGCCTGCTGTGTTCATCCAGCTCTACACCTTATTATCTTAGCTTCTATATGACCTTAGTTCCAAGTTTTATTTTAAACTACTGTCCATAGCAAGCCACTTGGTTATGATTAGGGTAGACAAAAAAAGTACCAGTGATGTTCAGAACCTGAAAACAAATGATTTTTTTTTTAAAAAGCCAACTTACTGTTTGCGTGTCATTGACAAAATGGTTCATGTAGGCGCTCAGTTCACTAAAGTGTCTGTTTGAAAGTGTATCAAGGATCTTGTTGATATTAACAGCATTGCTCAAAGTATTCGAGTTCACAGTCAACTCAGACAGTTGCCTTGGAGTGAGTAGGTCCAGCACGTCAAACTAAAGAAATTTGAAGTTGTTAAATTTGTGCAATATGTACAAAGGAATACTATACCTCCAAGCAGTACTATTCACATCTGTCACAAATTTCCCATAAATTAACTGCTGACGTTTTTCATGTCAGGTCAATCTCGCAATGATTTTGTTCTGTTACCTTCACAATTATGACTACACAAAGGAAGAATTTTGCTTAATATGAAGAGTAACAAGTACCTATCCCTGGTATCAACACTGGGGGAAATGCAGAAATGGCAAAATATCTGATGACTAACAAGAAAATGATTAAGAGGCTTCTATTACTCATTCGTACTTTGTCACTGTCACTGTCTGTTCTCTCCCAAATTCTAAATCATCCACATTCTGTAGTAATGGCTTAACGTTACACTATCATAGGGCAATTAGTATCAATGTCAAAAATGGCACAGGCCCCAACAATGGATAGATGTGTGCACTGAAGTATGCAAGGACCTGTAGACATTTAAATGTAGGCATTTAAGAGTGTGGAAAGCTATCACATTTTTAAAATCATTCCAATTCTATCACATCGCCTCACTCTTCTTATTTACAGGGATTCTTCTGATACAGTGCACATGTGCCTAATATTAAGATGTAATTCAATAGCTGGGATAGCTACAAAGTTACACTGTACAGTACAGTATCAATGTGCCACATCAGGAAATGATAAGGCACATATCCACATCCACATCCACATCCAGTTGGAGCTGGACATTTCATCAAGGGGAGAAAGGAAAATCTGGAAGGGGAATCACCATAGTCTCTTCAAGCTCATTAGTAATCAATTCCAAAGTGATGGACAGCAACGGCTTTTCAAGCCTGGTTTCTCTCCTGTGTATCAGCCTTGGCTGTGTTGTTTGAATGCCTTTCTGAGAAGGTTGGGGTTGAAGATGTACTGCAGGATTTGTGCACACAATCTGAACTGATACTCTAATGGAGCACTGAGGGGTTGCTGCACTGTTGAAGATACATTTTTATTGTGAATGAAACATTCAATGGAACGCTCCTTTGCCCTCCCAGTGGACATAAATAGTATATGTTGAAGAAAAGCAGGTCAATTATCCCCAGTGTCTTGCAATATTTAACACCCAACATCACAAAAACAGCTTTTCTGCTCATTATCACACTGCTGCTTTTCAGAGTTTGCTGCATATAATTTAATTTCTACTTTCCCATATTATAAAAGCGATTGCACTTCTGAAAGTACATCGATGTTTGTAAAGCTCCTCGATATATCCTGTATTTATAAAAGTACTACATAAATGTCTTCTACTTGTTTAATTTGTTCAGTAAGCAAGAAAATCTGCCGGTATCTATACTGGTGTAGGAGAATGCAAGAAAGCAATCTTGCAGTTGTTAAGTAAAAACCTCTGAAAAAAGTCTGACATTCCTTTTTCTGATTTCCATGTTGAAATGCTAGAATTACCCTTGCATTTGGTGGAAGAAAACATCTTAGATGGAAGAGAGATCATTTCAACAAATGGTGGATAACCTATTTGGTTTCTTACAGCGATGGAAGTAACAAACAAGTAGCTTTATTGGAAAACTTTGTCTCGTAAACTATCAAACCTATTGGTAAAAGGCCAGGCTAATTTCTTTAGTCCTGTAACTTTGTAGTTGATCAGGTAACTAATCTGCATTTTTAAAATCAAACTTTCTTACTTAGCTTCCCATTTTCTAGAGAGAAAAAAAATCAATAACTTACTCCACTGAAATTTGAATTCAGCATGGTTAGGTCCTTTATCTGAACAAGTTGACCAAATCTTCCCCAGTTCTTCAGCAGCCAGTCTCTGGACCCGTTAGTGTTGGTGATACAACCAGCACCTTTAGTTAAAGGAAGAAGATATTTTCGGTGGATTGTCATGAACTTTGTATATACACAGAACATGTGACATTTTAAGCGCTCAGTGCCCCTCAGTCTCTTACATTGAAAGTAAGAAAGCTGTGTTTGAACTTCCAGATAGACTGCTAAACATGAATCCTCCAACAAAGTTGTGTCTGGTTTCAATTGCAGCATGTCAAAAGTGTGATTGAGTAGTTAACTATTATTTCATTGTGAGAAATACAGTTAGATACTTGTCCATTAATTTTGAGTCATCTCATGAGCAGAACTACAGTAGAAGTGTAATTTAGGTGATAAATGAAGGAACTTCTTGGCAATAAAATCTGAAAACTTGGAGCAGTTCTGGACTTAGTTGCATCAAGACTGCTCATGCATATTGCTTCTTAAATATATATTTAAAAACATGTTGTGAGACCATTTCATTCAAATCCCCAGAGACCATGACATTAATTGCTTGTACAAATTTGATGTAACAAGTTACATTACTTTCTGAAGTCTAATTGATTGAGAAAGTCAGAAGGAGAAATTCTGAACAATACAATCATGAAATACACAGCTAAATACTTTTTTTTTATTATTGAGAAACTAGAGAAGAGTTGACTAAGGTGCACAGCCAAGAATGTAGAGGTAAAGTGAGATAAATCAAGGTGCAATGATTTGATAATGCTAAGCTCAGGAATTATGTGCCTCAAAAAGTAGAAAAATATGGAATCCTGGGAAAGAACGAGTGGATGTAAGTGAGATGAGTATTAGAGCGGGGAATGAGAGAAGTAAGAAGCTGTACATTTTGTAGGAATGAACAAACATTCTGAGAGCACTGACTATATTTCGGCAAAGAAAATGAAATTCAAAATAAAGTTGCAGCAAAGACAGATTAGTTATTGATGGTTAAAGATGAGTGATGAATCACCATTGAGCTTTTTTTAACAGTAGTTTATCAAATTTTTAGATGTGAGATGTGAAAGTTCTATATGAGATCAGATCTGATAGTTAAACCAAACATTTCCATACATGATATAAGACCAAACTGGAGCCAATAAAGGGGAGGCACTAGTTCAAGTTATGACACCAAGGAAATGATCTCTTTGAAAAATAAGAAAAGCTTATTTGTCGTTAATTATCTTTTCCAAGATGCATATAACTTGCCAGATCTGGGAAATATACAATTTCACTGCAATACTACAGAAGCAATTGAACAAGTTGTAAGTCCAATTTTCTCCCTGTTTTGCAAGGGCCTTACTCGTTTACCTGTGGTATCAAGGTAGATAAGGATCCACATATTTAGCACGGTATCTCTTGTTGCCTGTGGCATCACACTGAATTCATTATTGAGTCCCTTTATGCTGGTATGGAAAAAAAATTATAAAACCATTTAAAAAGAAGTCACATCTATAGTATGCATTCATCTGATAGACATTATAGTATGGTCAATAATCAGGCCAGATCTATGCACCTCTGTTACAAATAAAAGCATTCTACTTTATTGATGTCTAAAGTAGATTTCATGTAATTTTCAGGTTAGCCCACAAATGGATGACCAGCTTGCCCACCTGTGATCAGCTAAATGCTGCATTAACATTAAAAATAAGAATCCCATGCCTGTTGCTAGGGTTCAAATACAAATTTCAGATGCAAGACTGCAGAAACTGTCAAGCACGCTGTCAATTTTTGCCAAGTTTTGAGCAGCTGAACTGGCAAACTTTTAAAGCAGCAACTTTTTTTATATAAAGCTGAGGCAAATAAATATCTTTTTTATGGTGCCAGGAGGAGTGGAACATTCCACGACCAGGTCTGACCTGCTGACAGACTTAGTATCAAAGTCAATTCATTTTGCATCCTCCTTTACTGTTGAGCCACAATACATTGTCCATTTGCTATTTTTATCTCTTCAGTGGCATTTAAAAGACTAATGCTATCAAATTTGCAGTTATCTTAGGCAGACTTCAACATTCCTCCCCAATGTAAACACATTGTGAGGTGAAATATTAAAAATGATTTTTTCCCCATATTTCGTCCATCTCTTTCGTTCTGAAGGCAGTAATGTTTGTTCTGAAGGCAGTAATGTGCGTTAGGTTGAGGTTCAATGGGAAATAATTCCCTGACATTATGGCTTTCTGCCAAATTTTTGGTTAATGTTATACAAACATGTAACACACAGTATCAGATTAGATTAGTTTTGGATTTTTTGTTCACTCATAGTCAAACTTGGAAACCAACCATGTCAACCAAAGTGCTGTTTTCAATATCTCAACATACAATCCAACAATGTCTTATTGCTTTCCAAGAACAAAGACAAAGACACTGCAGAATGTTGTGAGCCCTAATGGTGAGTAACTAGAATCTGTTGCGTTATATATTGTGAGAAAGAGCCATACACTTACACAGCTTGGTAACCTTCGCATGTTGTGTTCCTGATCAGAAGGCAGCTCAGCACTGACTTGGGAATACCAGCAAGGAAAGGTCTGAATCGCTCCTGGAACCATTTTGTCAGGAAATCTACAATGGTTAAGTTTCCACTGGTCTTCACGATCTCCCACAGGACGTTCATGAATGTGATCTTTGTCATTAATGGAATTGATGATGTGCTGAAGGTCTGCAACAAACCGTGATGTGTTTAAACTCAAAGAGTAAAGAGATCCTATTGCAGGCACATGAAATTTCTCTTCATTTCAGAATTAAAATAAATACAAATTATATAATCACTCAGATTAATGTGATAACAAAATAATTCCCTTGCACCTCTGTCTGATAATTTGACAATAAGTTACTGTAGTGTTATTTTCATGTAGAAAATGAATCACTAAAACAGTTAATACTCAGAATGAAAAATCCCATTAGTTCACATTCTGACTTGTTGTTTATTGAAATGGCAGTTGAAAAGCTACAATGGACAGCATGGAAATACAGAGACCATTCAGTACAGCTGGTGCTCTATTACTGACTCCATCAGTATCTATGTGTAGACAGATGTACGTGTGGATTTTAAGGGAATTATAAGGAAATGAATTATAAATGTTCATAAAGGATGAAAATGTTGTTTGGTAAGTGTGCTTACTGCTTATGGGGGGTGGTACCTATGGATATCTAGAACAGGAATTCCACAATTATAAAGTTAATTCAAAGTCCTTCATTTAAATTTTTAGCTGTCCAATTATGAGACTCATAGAATAAAAATGGAAAACTGGTCTTGTGCCCTCAGATATGCTTCGAAAGACAATGAGTACCATTCAGTGTCTAGGATATTCAAACCCACGACTTTGTAGTTAGAGTTCATGTGGGGTACTTTCAAAGCAGATTCAGGAGTCTGGTGCCTGGGTGATTTATGAGTCCTGACCTGAAGCCTCGATTGTGCTGCTTTTGTGATCCTGTTTTAAAATGTAAATGCTCTCATGATGCAGGGAGCAAGATCTCCACAAGCTGGGAGCTACCTCCACCTGGCATTAGACGCAAAGGCAGATGGTAGCCATTTTGGAACCTGCTGGTACCTGGCCACAGAGAGCCATCAGCTCCTTAAAGGGGCAGAAACTTAAAGGCAACACCCATCTACAATCCAAGCAATCCACCTATCTAACCCTTCAATCATTAACACGTGGCAGAGTCTCCAGATTAGCCAGCCAATTTAGACATCATTGAACCAGAATAGAAACAAGTCACCCCCAACTTCCAAAAACTGCTTATGAAGCATAAAGGGGTGAAATGGAAGGTGACATGGGGAAACTGAGATATTATGCACATTGTGGTGCAAGGCCTCAAAATTTTAAACATTACGAAATGAAAAGTATCCTTTGTCTCACTGTAACATTAATAACTCTGCAGTAATGTGGACCAGACTCTTCATGTTTGCCAAAATATCCAAGTGAAAATTATGTCTGCAACCTCCCTTATCCATAACAACGGGAAGGGAGCAGGTTCGGCAATCCACAGATGATCTCTAAAACTGTGACTTTTAAATCCTAAATGTACAAGTATACCGTTTTGGATATTGTTGGGGGGGACGACTTACCAGGGGTAAGCCATGGGGTACAGGTCTCTGGCACAGAGTCTGTCCCTGTTGCTCAGAAGGGAAGGGGGGAGAGGAGGAGAGCATTAGTCATTGGGGACTCCATAGTTAGGGGGACAGATAGGAGATTCTGTGGGAACGAGAGACACTCGCGGTTGGTGTGTTGCCTCCCAGGTGCCAGGGTCCGTGATGTCTCGGATCGTGTTTTCGGGATCCTTAAGGGGGAGGGGGAGCAGCCCCAAGTCGTGGTCCACATAGGCACCAACGACATAGGTAGGAACAGGGATGGGGACGTAAGGCAGAAATTCAAGGAGCTAGGGTGGAAGCTTAGAGCTAGAACAAACAGAGTTGTTATCTCTGGTTTGTTACCCGTGCCACGTGCTAGCGAGGCGAGGAATAGGGAGAGAGAGCAGTTGAACACGTGGCTACAGGGATGGTGCAGGAGGGAGGGATTCAGATACCTGGATAATTGGGGCTCATTCTGGGGTAGGTGGGACCTCTACAAACGGGATGGTCTACACCTGAACCAGAGGGGTACCATTATCCTGGGGGGGAAATTTGCTAATGCTCTTCGGGAGGGTTTAAACTAATTCAACAGGGGGGTGGGAACCTGAATTGTAGCTCCAGTGTACAGGAGGTTGAGAGTAGTGAGGTCATAAATAAGGTTTCAAGGTTGCAGGAGTGTACCGGCAGGCAGGAAGGTGGTTTGAAGTGTGTCTACTTCAATGCCAGGAGCATCTGGAATAAGGTGGGTGAACTTGCAGCATGGGTTGGTACCTGGGACTTCGATGTTGTGGCCATTTCGGAGACATGGATAGAGCAGGGACAGGAATGGTTGTTGCAGGTTCCGGGGTTTAGATGTTTCAGTAAGATCAGGGAAGGTGGTAAAAGAGGGGGAGGTGTGGCATTGTTAGTCAAGGACAGTATTACGGTGGCAGAAAGGACGTTTGATGACAACTCGTCTACTGAGGTAGTATGGGCTGAGGTTAGAACCAGGAAAGGAGAGGTCACCCTGTTGGGAGTTTTCTATAGGCCTCCGAAAAGTTCCAGAGATGTAGAGGAAAAGATTGCAAAGATGATTCTGGATAGGAGCGAAAGTAACAGGGTAGTTGTTATGGGGGACTTTAACTTTCCAAATATTGACTGGAAACGCTATAGTTCGAGTACTTCAGATGGGTCAGTTTTTGTCCAATGTGTGCAGGAGGGTTTCCTGACACAGCATGTAGATAGTCCAACAAGAGGCGAGGCCACATTGGATTTGGTACTGGGTAATGAACCAGGCCAGGTGTTAGATTTGGAGGTAGGAGAGCACTTTGGTGATAGTGACCACAATTCGGTTACGTTTACTTTAGCGATGGAAAGGGATCGGTATATAAAGCAGGGCAAGAGTTATAGCTGGGGGAAAGGCAACTATGAGGCGATGAGGCAAGATTTAGGATGCATAGGATGAAGAAGGAAACTGGAGGGGCTGGGCACAATTGAAATGTGGAGCTTGTTCAAGGAACAGCTACTGCGTGTCCTTGAGAAGTATGTACCTGTCAGGCAGGGAGGAAGTGGTCGAGCGAGGGAACCGTGGTTTACTAAAGAAGTTGAATTTCTTGTCAAGAGGAAGAAGGAGGCTTATGTAGAGATGAGGCGTGAAGGCTCAGTGAGGGCGCTTGAGAGTTACAAGTTAGCCAGGAAGGACCTAAAGAGAGAGCTAAGAAGAGCCAGGAGGGGACATGAGAAGTCTTTAGCAGGTAGGATCAAGGAAAACCCTAAAGCTTTCTATAGGTATGTCAGGAATAAAAGAATGACTAGAGTAAGATTGGGGCCGGTCAAGGACAGTAGTGGGAAGTTGTGCATGGAGTCCGAAGAGATAGGAGAGGTGCTAAATGAATATTTTTCGTCAGTATTCACGCAGGAAAAAGACAATGTAGTCGAGGAGAATACGGAGATACAGTCTATTAGACTAGACGGGATTGAGGTTCATAAGGAGGAGGTGTTAGCAATTCTGGAAGGTGTGAAAATAGATAAGTCCCTTGGGCTGGATGGGATTTATCCTAGGATTCTCTGGGAAGCTAGAGAGGAGATTGCAGAGCCTTTGGCTTTGATCTTTATGTCGTCATTGTCTTCAGGAATAGTGCCAGAAGACTGGAGACTAGCAAATGTTGTCCCCTTGTTCAAGAAGGGGAGTAGAGACAACCCTGGTAATTATAGACCAGTGAGCCTTACTTCGGTTGTGGGTAAAGTGTTGGAAAGGATTATAAGAGATAGGATTTATAATCATCTAGAAAGGAATAATTTGATTAGGGATAGTCAACACGGTTTTGTGAAGGGTAGGTCGTGCCTCACAAACCTTATTGAGTTCTTTGAGAAGGTGACCAAACAGGTGGATGAGGGTAAAGCGGTTGATGTGGTGTATTTGGATTTCAGTAAAGTGTTTGATAAGGTTCCCCATGGTAGGCTATTGCAGAAAATACGGAGGCATGGGATTGAGGGTGATTTAGCGGTTTGGATCAGAAATTGGCTAGCTGTAAGAAGACAGAGGGTGGTGGTTGATGGGAAATGTTCATCCTGGAGTTCAGTTACTAGTGGTGTACCTCAAAGATCTGTTTTGGGGCCACTGCTGTTTGTCATTTTTATGAATGACCTGGATGAGGGCGTAGAAGGATGGGTTAGTAAATTTGCGGATGACACCAAAGTCGGTGGAGTTGTGGATAGTGCGGAAGGATGTTGCAGGTTACAGAGGGACATAGATAAGCTGCAGAGCTGGGCTGAGAGGTGGCAAATGGAGTTTAATGCGGAAAAGTGTGAGGTGATTCACTTTGGAAGGAGTAACAGGAATACAGAGTACTGGGCTAATGGTAAGATTCTTGGTAGTGTGGATGAGCAGAAAGATCTCGGTGTCCATGTGCATAGATCACTGAAAGTTGCCACCCAGGTTGATAGCGTTGTTAAGAAGGCGTACAGTATGTTAGGTTTTATTGGTAGAGGGATTGAGTTTCGGAGCCATGAGATCATGTTGCAGCTGTACAAAACTCTGGTGCGGCCACACTTGGAGTATTGCGTACAGTTCTGGTCACCGCATTATAGGAAGGATGTGGAAGCATTGGAAAGGGTGCAGAGGAGATTTACCAGGATGTTGCCTGGTATGGAGGGAAGGTCTTATGAGGAAAGGCTGAGGGTTTTGAGGCTGTTTTCGTTAGAGAGAAGAAGGTTAAGAGGTGACTTGATAGAGACATACAAGATGATCAGAGGATTAGATAGGGTGGACAGTGGGAGCCTTTTTCCTCGGATGGTGATGGCTAGCATGAGGGGACATAGCTTTAAATTGAGGGGTGATAGATATAGGACAGATGTCAGAGGTAGGTTCTTTACTCAGAGAGTAGTAAGGGCGTGGAATGCCCTGCCTGCAAAAATAGTAGACTCGCCCACTTTAAGGGCATTTAAATGGTCATTGGATAAACACATGGATGATAATGGAATAGTTTAGGTTAGATGGGCTTCAGATTGGTTTCACAGGTCGGCGCAACATCGAGGGCCGAAGGGCCTGTACTGCGCTGTAATGTTCTATGTTCTATGTTCTACCAGATCCTGACATGCCTTGCGGCTGATAATTCAGCTCCAAATTTTCAGCTGCATTTTCAATAAAGACTCCATTTTTTGGTCGTTATTTACTTAATAAATCTAATTTAAATTTTGAAAATCTATGAATTACACTGGGATCTTTCCTTAAGCTTTTCTGATTATTACAAAAAAATGACTTGTTAGATTTTTGCAAAGTAAGTTGTCTAAACAAGCATTTGGCTTTGCAGAGATGTAACACTATCTGCATATACCAGGCCTGGAAATTTCTGTGTTTTATTTTGATCACTGCTATATCAAGAACATTTCACAATTTCAATGCCTTGGCCAATGCTGCTACTTTAACCAAGAGAACCAAAATCAATGATTGTGGGATAACAAGGTGCAGAGCTGGATGAACACAGCAGGCCAAGCAGCATCAGAGGAGCAGGAAGGCTGACGTTTCGGGCCTAGACCCTTCTTCAGAAAAATCTTCAGAAAATCTTCAGAAAAATCAATGATTGTGGGATCTTCTTTGCAAAATTGTGGTTGCTTTTTGCCACAGTCACTGCACTTAGAAAAACACACTCTATTTCTAACAGTTATAAATGGTACAAATGCAACCTTTTCTATCATTGTACAAAATAAGTTTATTGGTTCAATTGAACATTGCTTTCATCTAATGTTTAATTGTCATTTACCATGTTGTTGAACTTGTCTAGCGCCTCGTTCAGGGTGGTTTTGTCCAGCTTCTGAACGAATACACCCAGTGCAATTTCATCTCGATTTTTCAAAGTCTTCGAGGTAGTAAAGCAATTGAATATAGAGGTCAAGTGATCACTGGTTAGACCTGCCAGTAGTAGATTACCCTGCAAAAGAACCCATTAGAAAAAGGTTAGGGCAATACATCTTAATATATTTAATTGGATAAAAACATCATAAATCATGGATTATCTGCCTTTATAGATTCAGCAGTTCAGGGTGTTGGAAAACAGAAACTAAACTAGCAGAGAACAGCACAATGGTAGTTTGACTGTTTGGGATTTCAAATCCTTAACTTATTAACTGAATAAGTTAACTGCAAAATTCCTTAGCACGCTTTGGAGCAACATTATGAGGTATAAATTCAACTTTTCTCCTTGTTACCCATCCAATATTATGTAATTCCAACAGCCAATTTCATGTGAAGCTATTATATTCGAGTGGTCACAATCAGCTTAGTCTGTTTACAAGAACATTGCAATCCCCACTAAATTCTGCAGCCATGATTCACTCTTTTTTCAGGTTTTGAACTCCAACTTATATCTGAAATGCCTGGTGGGTAAAATAATAGGATAAATTAGCAATAACTGGTACTGATACTTGATGTTAATTCATTTTGATTTTGAGGCCATGCTTTTAAAAGCACAACAAAATTAATTTAAAAATAGCTAATTTTGACTGGGATCCCATGATGATCTTCAACATAGAATCCCTACAGTGTGGAAGCAGGTCATTCAGCCCATTAAATCCACACTGACCCTCTGAACAGCATCCCACCCAGATCAACTTCCTATCCTATCCCTACATGTTGCATGGCTAATCTACCTAACCTACACACTACAGGGCAATTTAGCATGGCCAATCTACCCTAACTTGCACATCTTTGGACTATGGGAGGAAACTGGAGCACCTGGAGGAAACAAACGCAGACACGGGGAGAATGTGCAAACTCCACACAGACAGTTGCCTGAGGTTGGAATCGAACCTGGGTGCCTGGTGCTGTGAGGTAGCAGTGTTAACCGCTGAGCCACCGCACTGTTCCCTAATCTATGAATATTTAAGTTTAGAGTACAGGATTATTTGGTTTATCATAAACAGGACTAGAGCAATCTAAAACAAACCATACTGTTTTGCTCTTTCACCAGAATTCTATATAATCTCCTGTAATAAATATTTATTTTATCTTCTCATGTAATGTAATAATTCCTGCCTCAATTACTATGTAGAGAAGTATTCTAACCTCTAACAATTGTTCTGGATAAAATATACTTTCAATGACAATCTTAAATTGATAAACTCCCATTATTTACTGAACAACCAGTGGAAATATTCTTTCCCCAAGTCACATATTAAAGGCATTCATAACTTCAGAAACCTCTTAATTATTTTGTCATCTTGAACGATACATCTGTACAATTAAGAACAGAATATTTAGATATCAGTGGCTAACAATACACTGTATATGATAAGATGCTAAATATTTGTTCAAATTAGACAATGAAGAACACAAGTGGTGAAATTCATTATTTTCCAAGCATTAGATAGAATATAATCTGGATTTAAAGGTTGTGGCTGCATTGATAACGGTTTTGCTTTAATTCAAAATTGCATTGGGTCCACATCGAAGGCAATATGTTACACTAAGGCCTTAGTTATAAAATCCCTCTTTGCTCCTTTTGAGTCGTCCAAGTGTGTGACACATATCCACTTAAAATAGTACTCTGTGTTATTTTGTAATGCAAGTTAAGTTCATTGAATTAGTACCACATTTCTCAGAAGGAGGAACATGTCCAGCAGCAGTCTGTCATTCTAATGTGAAAGTGTGGGTCACGTTAAAGCTCACCTGAGCACATGCATATTCTGCAATGTTGAAATTACATAGCTGGGAACTGTTAACAGACATCAGAAAACTGTTCACAGCTGAACTGTTGGTGGGAGGGAAAGGAAAATTATTATTTAAAGAAACATTGCATTAAGATCAAAGTTGTTTTAAAAAAAAGCCATCAATACAATCCTAAATATATTAAGTGAGAGCCACTCTGCTGCCCAGAGTCATATTAACTTGTGGTCTAAATAGAGAGTTGGATCATTGTCTGAAGTTGGAAAAAGGCTACAGGGAAAAGGCAGGGAATTAGGCATGTTGCTCTTGCATTAAGCTAACATAAGTATGACAGGTTGAATGGGCTCCTTTTGTGCTGTAATCATTCAATGATCTTAAGTTAATTGGAAAAGCTGCAAGAATTAGAATGAGCCTCATGACCATGAACTTCTTAGCTTTGATCTCTAAACTACTGTGTCCAGTTCTGGTCACCCTGTTTTAGGAAGGATATTAATAAACTGGAGAGAGTTCAGAAAAGATTTACCAGGATGTTCTTGGGAACGGAGGATTTGAGTTATAAAAATAGACTGGAAAGACTGGGACTTTTTCCACTGGAGCTTAGGGGGCTGAGGGATGACCTTACTGAGGTTTATAAAATCATGAGGGGCATAGATAAGGTGAATGACATGGGTCTTTTCCCTAGGGTGTGGGAGTTCAAAACTAGGAGGCATATTTTTAAGGTGAGAGAATAAAGATTGAAAAAGGACATGAGGGGCAACTTTTTTCACAGAGAGTAGTTTGGGTGTGGAATGAACTGCCAGAGAAGGTGGTGGATGCAGGTACAGTCACAACATTTAAAAGACATTTGGATAAGTTCATGAATGGGGAAGGTTTGGAGGAATATGGGCCAAATGCAGGGAGGTGGGACTAGTTTAGTTTGGGAACGTAGTTGGCGTTGACTTGTTGGACCAAAGGGTCTGTTTCCATGCTGTATGGCTCTAAGTCCACTTGATGATCGAGATGGTACATTCAGCCTCAACACTGAAGAAGAAGGTACCGCATTTCCAGAGCCCCTGCTGCTTACCATTCTCCATTAATCATTACAATGATAGGCGCAGTATTACAGAAGTTAGTTGAGGATAGGATTGGGCAAAACTGTAATTTTTGCTAAAGATGAAGGTGCTTCCCCAATTCCATGCTCAGACTCATACCTGAAGAACAGCCATTTAGAACAGATACTAAAGTGTGGATATTGTTGATCTGTAGGCCAGTATAGCTCAGTACTGTGAGCCCATGAACAATGTCTGTATCAGGCTGTGCTAATGGATGACTTTGCAGTAAGCAGGAAAATACCACATGGTGGAATAATCAGGCCATATAGAGCCCACTTCTAGGATGGATGCATTAACAGCCATTCAACGCGCCCGAAGGTGCTGCACAATGCAATGAATGGGGTGTACAGAAAGGGAAAAATAATAGAAGGAACATTGAAAGTTAGGGGGTAAAATTGGGGTAGCAATATGTAAAGCTAGATTTTACAAACAGATTCCTAAAGGAAGGCTGGAACCACGTTTCACAGAACAAATCAATAATTTCAATTGAAGCAATGTGGATATTAATTTTCCTCAAATGCTTACCTGTTTACTGCTGCACATGCATCTGTTTCTGATAGAAATGTAAAAAACAAGATGTTAAAATACTGGAAATGTACGAAGAAAATTAAACAGTGAGTTTTACATAAAATGTACCTACCATTAAATGTAGTATTGCCACACTATCAAAATAAAGCATAAAGGTTAATACTTAATTTTAGTTTCACAATGACACAAATAAACTGCATACATACTTGAAGACAATACATATGTATAAATATATGAATTCAAATGCATAATGTATGATTACTACATGAAAATATCATACACATACACATATATCATGCAATATATTAAAATATATAATGAATAGGGAACTATAGAGAACCTATACTAATTGAACAAAAAATGCTGTGTCAACTTGTAAAAATAATGGTTATGGTTTTCTGTTATTTCGTCAATAATTTATATTAGCAACAAGCTTCATACAAGTTGAATAATCACAATTACTTAATTAGCACGGGTTACATATTCCTACATTGGCTTATATTCCAATGTTGATTGTGAATTAACAACAATGATGAAAAAACATGTACCCTATTGTATGGGCTTTAAGGTCAGATAATTTGCACAGCACAATACTGCAGCACTCCAATGCCACTGGTTGAATTGATACAGTTTGGTTTCGTATCAGCGGCTGTTGAAAAAGAGTTTTCCTTTCTTGTGGCGGCAACCATTGTTGCTGATCAATAAAACAAGCCCATGAGGTGGCAGATGGAAAATTAAAAGGACAAAATCTGAAATGGCACAGAGCAGGCACAAATGCATCCAGATTTTCTTTCAGTGGAGCAGTTTTTTGCAAAAAAGAATAAAAAGGTGATTTTAGTGAATTTGTACCTCCCACAAAGATTGGCTAGGCAGAAGCATGCATTACAAAACTCAATCTTTAGTTACTTTTTTGCATTCCATGCTCTTAACCAAACGAGGTTCGGTGTAAAACGTGCCATTGTATTGAGTGAACCATATCAGGAATGGCTAATCAGACTTCTTTCATTAACTTTCTGACACAGAGTTGTATTAAAACAAACACTATTAAATGTATCTTACCATGAAGTTAAATTGAGGATCTGAAAGAAATTAAAAACATCATTAAAAAAAGCACGTGAAACCCAATGCCTCAGATGGTTGTTATCGCATCTAGAATTATTGATACATTTTGATGGCAATAGAACCAAAATACACAGAAATTTTACATCCGAGAAATTAAATTGAAAGAGTTGACTGTACTTGCATCTATGTTACATTGTATTATACCATGAGCAAGGGACTACAATAATAAATATTGTTTGTCCACGGTATTTCTGAACTTATCAAGGCACATACCTGACGAAGGATCTGGAATTCCTCCTGTCAATCCAACACGCCTCACTTCAGATTCAAAGTGTGAGCTCACCCAGACTGACACCACAGTTTCATTGGCTCCAGTTTGAAGAGCCGGGAGGTTAACCTGAAGCAAGTCTATCAACTGCGCTGCAGAAAGTTTCTAATGATAGGAAGAATATTAGCAGAATGAAACATTGATCAATGCATATTCCTTCAGTGGTCAGCTTATTACATTTCTTAGATCCATCTACGAAAGAAAAACATTGCCAGCACAAAAACCACATTGCTAATGAACTAAGTCTTTTGGCATGATGATTTATTATTTAAACAAAGATATTCCAACAGCTTCAAGTATTATAGAATTAAATGAATTCCAAACCTGAAAACCAAGTCGTGGAAAGATTTCGAACACATAGGTGACATGTGAACTGCCAGATGATGTCAGACCAAAGTAATAGGTTTAAATGTTTTGTTCTGACTATCTAGAAGTAATTGATCGCACTTTCAGGGCTGCAGCTACTTTAAAGATGATATAAAAATGAAAAATTACGGAAATATTCAACATGTCATTCAGCTTCTATGGAAACTGCGGCCTGCATTTTCCCTTTCCAAGCCTCTCTGTGTGGGGGAAAGCTGGGGACTAACCCACTACCCCTACCTGTGAGGTAACTTGACCTGTCACCTTGCTGGTCAGCCCATTAACAGCGGATTGCCAGTCAACAGGCCAGTTTCTCAGCCAGTCAGACACTTTGACATTAGTGCGTCAGGACCCCAGAAGCTGCTGTCGTTGCTCACTTGAAACCTAGTCTGGTCATGATTCAGAACCAGAAAGGTATTTCTTAAATCTTTTTGTTGCAGACAGGAGTCAGGGGAGAGGGGAATCAGAGGCAAAGGCAAGGGGTTGGCTTTCAGGCCCTAGGTCAAGGCAACTGTAAGCCTCCCTATCACTCCCCCTCAAACTCAGCATTCAAGCCACCCTGGTTTCCCAGCAGGTGAACTAGCCCCCTTTCTCACCCAATGGAGAGGGAGCTGATTGGATAGGTTACGAATTGAAGCCATTAAGTGGCCATTAATTGACCACTTCGGGGCCTAAATTTGCTGCCAAGGCGAGGTCCCCCAGGGGCCTTCTTGCCCAGCTCAGAGATGGTGGAAAAGTGATGAGTTTCTCTCCAGGACCAATGTGCCCAATCATTTCGCCTTCTCGCTCCTCTAGTGAGGGGAAAACTTTGCCCAGAGTTAATGTTTCAGGTCAAAATGACCTTTTATCGGAACCACCCTGATGAAAGGTCACCTCAACATGAAACATTAACTGTTTCGCTTCACAGATACTGCCTGACCTGCCTTATCATTTTCCTGTTATTTTGTACAACTCCAATACTTCAAATATAACATTTATATACATATACTCATCCTGTCTTCCTGCTTCTACCACTTTTCCTCTCTCAATCTGTGATTTTAAGCTCAGTTTTATTTTTCTGCATATTCAAATTTAACCTAATCCCTTCAAACCTGATTCTAATGTCTTATTCAGACTGCTACAGTCCAATATGAAGCTGCAATAAATATTCAACATTTGAATGAGAAGGTTATTTTGTCCAGACTGTAGTTATTGGAATGAGGTCAGCCACGTGGACTCAAAAATATGAGTTCCCTGATTGGGGCTGTTAACCTGGTTCAATCAGGGAGCCCTGGCTGACAGATTTAAACAGGAGAGTCAAAGGTCCTAAAACAGAAGTTTCTGGAAAAGCTCAGCAGTTCTGGCAGCATCTGTGAAGAAAAAAGTCAGAGTTTATGTTTCAGGTCCGATGATCTTTCCAGAGGTTCTGCTCGCTCTAGGAGCTGGTTCTGAGTTAACTGTGTCAGTGTCATATACTATGCACGTGTAAATAAAGGGTGACCTGGTGACTGGATTCATGGAGTTATTTCACAGATAAGTAAAAGTCTAAGCTATGAGGTAAGATCTGGTTGCATTTATAATACAATCAGATCAGTTTTTGTCGTGCCAAACCTGGAACCATTTCTCACAGTCATAGTGGGCCGAAGGGCCTGTTCCTATGCTGTACTGTTCGATGATTGAGCAATCAGTGATACAATCCATTTCCAGCATTCTGTGCAAATCTAATGCTTGTGGAACAAGCAGTTCCAAAAACTGCTAGTCACATCATTCGATTCAGGCCCACAATAAGGGTGGGCCTTATTGCAAGGGTTTCAATAGGCTGCTTAATTTGTACAAGAGCAGTTGACTAGCTAGGCTCTGGGGAAGTTGTGGGAACTTGCTGGGTGTGCTGGAAGGAAGCCGGAGAGCACTAATATTTCATTGTAATTGAGGGAATGGGTGCTGAAAACCCCATAACAAGTATTTGCTTCATACAACTGAGCACGATTAGAGTTTAGGGAGAAAAAAGCCAGGGTCTAGCTCAGCGAAGCTCACTGTTGGTGAAAGGCTGGTGAATTAGTACTGAAGGGCAGATTTGGAGTCAAGGGGAACATAGACTCAAAAAAGGAATGTGATTGACCGGAACAGGAGCAGTCTTTCATGTAGTCCATTACAGAATGGCTCTTGAGAAAATGCTTCAATATTAGAGCGTCAAAGAGGTCTATAGCACAGAAAAGGCCATTCAGCCAATTGAATCTGCACCAGTCAAAAACAAGCATCCCATTATCCAGCACTTGGCCCATGGCCTTATATGTCTTGGCACCACAAGTGCACATCTAAATACTTCTTTAACATTATGAGGGCTTCAGCCTCTACCACCTTTACAGGCAGTGAGCTCCAGGTTCCCACCGGGTTCTGTGTGAAACACTTTCCCTCACATCCCATTTAAACCTCCTACACCTCACCTTAAATCTATGCCCTCTGGTCACTTCTCCCATAATGAAAGCGTTTATCAGCAAGCCGATGGCTTGCAAAAATACAAAATGGGAAGAGTTGACAATTTGGCATCTTGACCGTCAATCAGTAAGCTTCTGCATTTTTACTTTGTGCTTTGAATTTCCTATTGCTACCTACCCTCGATAAATTTTAAATCTCTTGCCTGACAAGAATCCACCCACCTCGGGTTCAAAAATATTCAATGGCCCAGGCTCCCACAGAGTGATGAGGCAGAGTGTTCCAAAGTGGCTCAACATTCAGAGAGAAAAGTTCTCATTCTTGTCCTGAAAGGAGTGACTTCCCCAGATTTTAAAACAGTGTCCCCCTAATTCTGGACTGACCCATAAAAGGTAACATCCTTGCCGCCTTGTCCAGATTGACAAAGGGAGGATGTGTAACTTGGGATGGTGGAAATGAGGTGTACATGTATTGTGGATTATGTTATTGTTCTAACATTCTATATTCAAGTGTAATGTCGTTTGTTCAAACTCATGGGATTCTGTAGCTTTAGTTTCTTAACACATTTCATTTTATTGACTTCAAAGATAATGGTTATTGTCCTCTGACCAAATCAAAACAAAGTTGGCAGTCTGTTCTCAAATCATAACTAACCTCAGAGTCTCACTGCACCCAGATAATTAAACTTCAAGTGTGATGTGGCCAGGGCTCAGTGCTTATATAATCAGGTGATCCTCAACATCACAAACATATTTGAAATGAGAAAAGAGCTCATTAATAGAAATAGTAATTAATTGAAGCTTCTTAGTATAAAAATCTGGGAATGGTTTATGATGCCAAGGGAACACCAATCTTATACTGGTGCTGCACATTCTGGGAAGTCCATTGCCAGTTGGCAGTGCCTACACATCAAAACAACTGGAACTCAAAGTGGCTCACCATATGGTAAACATTATTAAATGTTGTTTGAGCATTACAAGTAACAGCAATATCAGATTAAGGGGGGTGGTTAAAAAAAAACCAGACAGATCACAACTATGGAGTTGTGAATTTCCTTTATCTATGAATCCAGATTTCGTAATATAGTTCTATACAGTATATACAGAGTAATATACAGAGGCGGCTATCCCATCATCAAATCATCCTCTTTTTACATGTGGCATAGTATATTGGCTCTGACCAGCCAGCTCAGAGCCAGTTCTTATAAAGAGGAGACTCTGAGAATCTCCTGTTTGTATCTGTCAGCCAGGGTTCCGTGATTGGCCCAGGTTAACAAGCCCAATCAAGGATCTCATAGTTATTGAGATCTAACTGGCCCTCATTCCAATCACTACAGTTCTAAACTGGTATTCTATAACATCGACACTGACCCTTGTCCCCTATTCAACCAACATTTATTCCAATGTAAGATTACATTATGACGCGTTACACTTCCCATCATAATCAAATAGTTTTTTTTAAATGAATCTCGATTTCCTTGCAGGAAATTCATTGTCATTCCCAAATACAAACGCACAAGTATGAAACAGATTGCTAAAGAAGAAACCACAGCCATTCTTAAATGATCAAATCATATTGTTATACTATATATACATACCGCTACTTCTTCAGGATTCAGCTTTATGAAGGTTGGAAAGTCCATGTTGACATCATTATTGGCAAGAAACTCCAGATCAGATGCCCTGGCACCATCTTAAGAAAACAAACACACTCATTTATCAAAAAGCAGTAACATTTTTCACTTTTTTGTACCTATTTAGAATTCTGCATTATTACCTATTGCTTAAAGATGGAATGTTGTGCTATTTTCTCCCAGCATTTAGCACCATCCATTATTTGTGAATTACTTTCACAATAGAAGAATATAGGCGTTTTCATCATCTGAACATTTTCTGCCCTTAAAATGCTCATCTGCGTAGAAGCACTGCAGAACAACCTGATGTAAATATTCATGCCCCATTAAAAGCCTGAATTTCCTGAATCAATCACTGGCCATAATCCATTTCTCCCTGCATTTACATTGCTTGAAAAATCTACACTATTGTGCCCTAGCTATTTGGTGACTGTTTTTCAAATTTAAATTCTATCCCAATATCTCTCAAACTGCACAATTCCGTTTCTTTGCTTTGCATGTCAATTTCAGATCATATTCACCTGAAAATAAAGTTTTAAAACCTCACCAGTTAGGTGTAACAAACCAGATCTAGGGGTGTTAGGAAGATTTTGATGGCTGGTGTTAATTCGTAAATGGATGCGTGAATAGTAGTTTCTCAGCTGTTATGCCACACTGCAGGTTACATAGCTCACTCCATTGAAGGAATGCAATTCTCTCTGCTCACACAAGAACAGTTAAAGTAAAGAAATTTTCATTTTAAACACCACTGCTTTTGGTGGAGATTAGGTGTTTGTCATGGTTAGGCAGTATCTTCCTGCATAAATTCTAAGCAGGGTTCTATAATGTGAAAAGGACCCTGATAGTTGGACCCTGATAGTTATTACAACAACAAAGTTGCTGGAAAAACTGAGTTCTGAGGAAGGGTCACCGGACCCGAAACGTTAACTCTGTTTTTTCCTTCACAGATGCTGCCAGACCTGCTGGGCTTTTCCAGCAATTTTGTTTTTGTTCCTGATTTACAGCATCCATAGTTCTTTCGGTTTTTATTCTCATAGGATATTATCTCTGAGTTGAGTCGGAAGGTCACTGTTGCTTTGCGACCAGGCTGAAACAAGCCCACAAAACAAAGAGGTCCTGCAAACAAATTATTCAAATTCCCTCTGTAGGGTCAAGGGGAACAGGATTGTTTCTTTTGACCCCACGTTGGAAATCATGCCCCACCTCTACCACACAGAATCTCCTCCAACCTCTTCCCTTATGTGCAACTGTCTCAAAAGTTCCTCCTCACTACTTAGTGAGATGATGGAAATAAACCAGCAACATTTAAATAAGGCCTGGTAATTAAAATTATTATGCCCTCCTGTTGCATTACCAGGTAAGAGGTTTGCTTGTTGGAGCAGTGTGCTATCTGAAATCTGCCCCATACTTAAAAACCCAGGTATAAGAGGTGAAACAGACATCAAACCCTTCAACTCTGTATCATCTTAGAAAAGAAATACGTAAAATGGTATTTTAACAGATGGCAGTTGTTTTTTGTAAGCACACTTCCTCATAACAGTTCTTTGATTTTCTCTATGTTATTCTTAACCCATTCCTGCAAAAATATGGTCTATACAATTTTAACACACATTCATTAGCTCATTTACTTTAAATGTGTCAGTGAATTTGTTCATTAGCAATTTAAAATTATTAATATTTTAAATTAAGGTGCTTTCGTTGACCCAGTGTGCCAAAGGGTAAACTTGTAGTTGTATGGAACCTTCAATGTTCTCAGCATGTTCTAAAGCTTCTAACAGTCAATGATTTGTTTTGAAGTGTAGCCATTGTCCTTATGCAGGTAAAAACAGTAAAGCTTTTGTGCAAAAGGATCTCACAGAAAGTATTGTGACAATTGTTTGAAGAATAAATGCTGACCAAGATACCTGAAAACTCTCTGACTCTAACTTTGCCACGGTATATTTTACACAGAATCACAGAATCCCCTACAGCGTGGAAGCAGGCCACTTGGTCCATCCAGTCATATTGACCCTCTGAAGAGCATCCCACCCACACCCACCCCCCTATCCCATCCACATAACCCTGAATTTCCCATGGTTAGTCCTCCTAACCTGCACAAATGTGGACACTATGGGCAATTTAGCATGGCCATTCCACGTAACCTGCACATCTTTGGATGGTGGGAGGATGAACAGGCAGACTGTGAATTGGTTTACCATCTCACCTTAATGATGACACCTCTAACAATGCAGGCACTAACTCAGTACTGCAGTGAAACAGCAAACGTACAGCCAAGAGGAAATTAACCTACCACTCCCATTAAGCTTTAGGTTCAATTTATCAACCAGCCAAAATTATTAACTGCGTGCTTCAAACCTAAAGAAAGATGTGGTAAATGTCAAGAATCAAGCACCTTACCAAGGTATGACTTGATTAGGTTGAAGTAGGCGATGGTGTTATTTTGCTGAGATATTAATTCAGATGCTGCTTGGTTGTAGAGTAGGTTCTTTTTTGATTGAGTGCACGTGGAAATATCCAGCGCTCCAGCATTCCTGTGGGAGAAAGGGCAGAACCTTAAATTTGAAATGCACAAAACAAATTATTTGGCATTGTAGTTACCATTGTTATTCATCCATGAACATTCCCATATAAACAACAAAATTCCGCTGATTGATACTGGTAACGCCCATAATTGCACATGACCAGCAGCTGCAGCAAAGTGACTTCTTGCATGTTGATAGTTGGAGCCAATCACTGCTAGCTTATATTTGATAAGCAGTGGTCCTTTTAAGGGACTACAACACGTTTCTCAAAAAGGAATGACTATAAGTTTTAAAACTGATTTTTGTAGAGTCAGGACAGCATTAATTCTGCTTTCGTTTCATAAAAATGTGCACAGGGAGTCTAAGTCCTCTGTGTCTTCCATCCTCACCACCTCTAAGGTCCCACTTGAAGAACAGCTCCAAGGAAAATCTGCTAAATGTTGCAGCCTTCCCCAGTCAGTGAGCCACCAGTCACCACTAGTTCGGTACATCCAGTTCCTCGAGATTATTCAAAGGAAGGGTGGCACCTTGCCTCAGTGGTTAGCACTGCTGCCTCACAGTGCCAGGGAGCTGGGTTCGAATCCACCTTTGGGCAACTGTCTGTGTAGAGTTTGCACATTCTCCCAGCATCTGTGTGGGGTCTCCTCCAGGTGCTTCCAGTTTCTCCCACAGTCCAAAGATGTGCAGCCTAACTGGATAAGCCATGGGAAATGCAGGAATAGGGTAATGGGTGGTTCTGGGCAGGGTGCTCTTTGGAGGGTTGGTGTGGACTTGATGGGCCGAATGGCTTGCTTCCACACCACAGGGACTCTATGAAGATAGCAGCACCCATAACCTTTTTGACAGAGACAGTTGAAGTATCACCCCAGTGTGTGTATCCCCAGTTTAGGAATGGAACAAACTAGGTAATCTCAACGGAATTCATAAAATTGATTTTAAAATTAAGAATCCTCGGAAATGCAGGTTCAGATGACAGTCAGGAAGGCAAATGCATTGTTGGCTTTCATTTTGAGAGGGCTAGAATACAAGAACAGGGATGTACTGCTGAGGGCGTATAAGGCTTTGGTCAGAGCGCATTTGGAATATCATGAGCAGTTTGGGCCCCATATCTAAAAGGGAATGTGCTGGTTTTCGAGTAGGTTGAGGGGAGGTTTATAAGAATGATCATAGGATGAAGGGCTTGTCATTGGAGGAGCAGGTAAGGAGTCTGGGTCTGTACTCAATGGAGTTTAGAAGCTTGATGGGGGGATCTGATTGAAATTTACCCAATACTGAGAGGCCTGGATAGAGTGGGCATGAAGTTTCTGCTAGTTGGAAAGACTAGGACCCAAGGGCACAGCCTCAGAGTGAAGAGGCAGCCCTTTAGAACTGAGATGAGAAGGAATTTCTTCAGCCAGAATGCGTTGAATTGTGGAACTCATTGCCTCAGAGGGCTGTGGAGGCCAAGATATTGAGTGTACTTATGACACAGATAGATAGGTTTTTGATTAGTAAAGGGATTAAAGACTATGGTGGGAAGGCAGGAGAATTGGATTGTGAAACATATCAGCACTGATTGAATGGCAGAGCAGACTTCTACATATTATGGTCCTAAATTTGTGTTCTGAACCAGACATGAAATGATGAGGAGAAAGACATTGAGGTAGCAAGAATGTGTTTTTCTTTAATGACAAAAAATGGAAATACATATGCTAAGAATGTTTGACCCTTTCACCTTTTCATTGCTACCATTTGATTTGTTGAGCATTGTGCTGTAATACTTGGAACAGCGATTTTCATTCTGTTTAGAAGAAGGATATTTAACGAAAGTGAGAAAACTAAGAGGAGAAAGATGAAATACTTACGTCAAGTTTGAAATAGTCATCAGCTGGCTTTCATCCAGAGTGCAGAGGTTTGGCCCACCAATAGCTTTCAAAGAAACTTCATTGAGAGTTCCACCCAACTGTAGATACCTTGTAATAATGCTTTTAACCTGAAGAACAATTCATAAAGTATTCAGTAACAAATACCAAATAAACTGCATTTTTATATTTATTTACTTTCCTTGCTTAATTCTTGAATTTCTTATTTAGAACTTGTAAACATCCTTTTTTTCCTCCTCCATAGAACTGGGCTTGTACCTCCCAACAGAATTCTTTACTCAATCTTGATTTCTATTTTTTTTTCAAAAAAAGGTGACCATGACACTGTTTCCTATTTCAGTCAGTGCTGAGTTAATAGCCGATCACTCACAGATATCTGGGAGTAGTCTATGGCAATTTACTGCCCACTCCATTCCCCTCTCAATTCTTTTGGAAAATTGGATACAAAATCCTTCAATTCTAAGAATTGCTTTCCCTTTGCAACAATTTGCAGCACAGGTCTTGCTTATGAACTGTATTCTAGTACACAACAGCACTGAGTATCAATTAGTATCCCATGTCATTGTGTTTCACATTTTGGACCCTATCAAAATGAAGTTTGACAGCTATTATTTTCTAATTTGGTTGTGTGTGAGCTGGTTTGGGACTCATGCTTTCATTGCTCAGTTCTTTGAGTTACAGGAGTTGGGAAGTCACGTTAAGGTTGTACAGGACATCAGTGAGGTCTCTTCTGGAATGCTGTATCCAGTTCAGGTCAGCCAATAATAGGAAGGATATTATTAAGATAGAGAGGGTTCAGAAGAGATTTACCAGGATTTTGCCATGTATGGAAGGTTTGAGTTATAAAAACTCAAACTTTAGATTCGGACTTTTTTCACTGGGGCATAGGAGGTGGAGAGGCGACCTGATAGAAGTTTATAAAATAATGAGGGATATAAATAGGGTTAATGGTAGTTGTATTTTCCCTAGGATGGGGGATTTCAAGACAATGGGGCATATTTTTAAGGTGTGAAAAGAGAGATTTAAAAATCTGCAAAACTGTGGGGAGATAACAAAGAAGCTGGAGGGGAAGAGCACAGATAAGCATTGGCCCGAGTTTTCTTTACGAAGTCCAGGCAAGCATTCTGCTCTCAAGGCACTTGCTGCATCTGCTTCTCACTAACTAGACTTTATTGAGCAGAGGAAACACCAAGTAATCTGAATTGGCCTCTATGTATATCACATGACCCTGTTTTCACAGAGTCATAGAATCCCTCCAGTATGGAAGCAGGCCATTCAGCCCATCAAGTCCACACTGACCCTCCAAAGAGCATCTCACCCAAACCCACCCCGCTACCCTACTCTATCCCCATAGCCCCACATTTCCCATGGATAACCCACCTAACCTACACATCCCTGGACGCTACAGGCAAATTAGCATGGCCAATCTACCTAACCTGCACATCTTTGGACTGTGGGAGGAAACCAGAGGAAATCCATGCAAACATGGGGAGAATGTACACAGTTGGCCAAGGGTGGAATCGAACCCAGGTGCTTGGCACTGTGAGGTAGCAGCATTAGCCACTGAGCCACCATGCTGCCCTGCACTCATGAAGCTTCAGCTAGTTTAATCAATCATCAAAAGCAACCAACAACACTGAAGTGAGGTTAAAGTCATCCTGGAGTTTCAAGAAACTAGTTTTCACATCTTATTCAGAACTAAATTCCCATTTATTTGCAGATATCAATATTTTAAATGCACATTCTCCTGGTTTCAGTACCGTTGTGTTTTCCAGCTGTTGCATCATTAATGCAGCAAGTGTCTCAACTTGGGTGATATTCCAGCTGCTGACTTCTGTCGCATTAAACACAGTTGATATGTTCCCCAGCAGTATAATCTGGTTTTCTGGTAATCCACTGGGATAAATCTGTTTCAGGAAGTCCAAAATAATAAAATTAAATCACTTACTGATGTTTATTTCCCACCCCACAAGTACAGTTTTAACTATCCTTTACAGTTATTGTACTGTCTGTAACTAATTTCCATTTCAGTTTGTTACATTTGAGAGTATTATTTTGAATCTGTGTTTTATAAAAGATGTCTCAATAGACATGTTTTTATAATTAATAAGTTATGGCTCTTACAAATAATATCACTTGAATAATGCAGCATTTTCAATGAATAAAGAGAAAATGTAAGCGTTTTTAATATTTTCAAAAAAGTTCAGTTATACCTTGACATGGGCTGATTAGCTGTTCATTTGCTGTAATAGAGTCATAGAACTGTACAGCGCAGAAACAGAACATTCAGTCCAACTCGTCCATGCTGACCCAGATATTCTAAATTACTCCAGTCCCATTTGCCGGCATTTGGCAAATATCCCTCTAAATCTTTCCTATTCGCATACTATCCAGATGCCTTTTAAATATTGTAATTATACCAGCCTCCACCACCTCCTCTGGCAGTTTTCTTCCATATGTGCAGCATTATCTGCATGAAAAAGTTGCCCCTTAGGTCCCTTTTAAATCTTGCCCCTCTCACCTTCAACCTATGCCCTCTAGTTCTGAACTCCCCAAACCTGGGAAAAAGACCTTGGCTATTCACACTTTCCATGCCCCTCATGATTTTATAAACCTCGATAAGGTCACCCCCCTCAGCCTCTGATGCTCCAAGGAAAATAGTCCCAGCCTATTCAGCCTCTCCCTATAACTCAAACCCTCCAAACCTGGCAACATCCTTGTAAATCGTTTCTGCATCCTTTCAAGTTTCACAATACCTTTCCCATAGTAGGGAGACCAGAACTGAATGCAGTATTCCAAAAGTGGCCTAACCAATGTCCTGTACAGCCACAACATGACCTCCCAACTCCTATACACAGTGCACTGACCAATAAAGGCAAGCATACCAAACCTGCAACTCCACTTTCAAGGAAAAATTAACAGAACACATGAACTCCCATTCCCTGACTGGGAATCCAACCTGCAATGGTGAAAGCATTGAATCCTAACCACTAGACCTCCAGGGAAGGTTGAGCTAATGCAAGAAAATTGCATAAACTGCCTCTTTTGCCTGACACATGGGTGACACCTGTGGCAAACACATAATATTTGCACAATTATGACAGGTTCTGATTGTGGCTGAAACATTTAAACTGTTTACAAATCCTTGTCCAACTGTATTTTACTCTCGGAGTCACAGAAGTATCATTCTCCTGTCTTTTCCCTACATCCTTGCACATTTTTACTATTTAAATCATCATCCAACACTCTCTTGAATACACCAGTTGACCCTGCCTCTGCCACATTTCCAGGCACTGCATTCCAGAATGCTCTGTGAAAAAGATTTTTCCCACATAATTTTGCAGATCACTTTATAAATTCATGCACTTTTGTTCTCAAGTGAGAATGAGACGCACAGATTTAAACAGGAGCAATCTTTCTGTATCTACTGTATCCAGACCTCTCAACAGTGTGGCGCTTAGAACTGCACACAATAGTCCAGCTAAGGTTAACAAGTGTCTTTGTCTTTGTACTCTATGGCCCTATTAACAAGACTCGATATTTTATTGGCTGCTCCCTCCACCTGTCCTGCCACTTTCAATGATCTATACGCTGGTCCCTCTGCTCTTGCACGCCTTAACAATTGCACCTCTTATTCTGCTCCTCCTAATGTAGCAGCTTACACTTTCCTGCCCACTCCACCAACTTGTCAATGTCATTTTGGGTTCTACAATGCTTCCACCTTTTGTATCATCTGCAAACTTTGAAATCATTGTCTGCAGGCCAAGATCTAAATCATTCAATAGTTATCATGAAAAGCAAGGGTGTCAATACCGATCCCTGGAGAATCCCTGACAATCCTTCCTGGCACTCCAAAAAAAATCCCTAGATTCATTACTCTCTGTTTGCTCCTGTGTACATGACTTCAAGATGGCCCCGACACTCAGCGATTCCTTGCGAGCTCCCTAAAGCAGATCTTATTCTAACATTTCTTAATACACTTTTAAACCTAAATTCTAAATCGGTAACAATTATTATCAGACTGAGGAATGGACTCTCTGACTTCAATTAATGTTGATCTTGCTTCGTGCACCTCCTATGCAGTGTGACCTGTATTCCTCACTCTGTCTAATGATGATCTGTATGTCCTTGCTTACTATGATCAGCCTGTACTGCTCACAAAACAAAGCTGTTCATGGTACTTATGTACACGAGGCTACAATAAATCAAATCAAATCAAATCCCTTTACTCCATAAATTATTATTTTTCTCAAGTCTGTAGCGTGGCACGATATCAAATGCCTTTTGAAGTCCATATGAACCACAGCTACAGCATTGCCCTCATTGACCCTTTTAGTTGCCTCTTCAAAAATCTCCAGCAACTTAGTGAAATACAATTTCCTCTTCAGAAACCCATACTGACTCTTCCTAGTGAACCCACCAATTTCTGTGAGACTACTAATTCTATCATGAACAATTGCTTCGAGAGATTTCCCCAAAACTGAAGTTAAACTGACTGATCTTCCGCTTGCTCATTTTAACAAAAGGGAGAAAATGAACACAATGGAGGAAAATATTATTTTCTGTCATAGATCAAGGAAAATGCTCATTACATAGCACTTTTAACATGGATAAATAGCACAGCAGAATATAACTCAGTGGAGTAGGGAATAAGATTCATGCTTTTAGATTAATGCTTGGGCCATCAAGGTTGAAATAGAAATAGTAAAATATTATACTATGGCTTCTATGAGGAGAACAAAGCATCGATCATGTTATTTACCTGGCTGAGTTTGTTTTTCAGAACTTGAAGCTGATCAGAATCAAAGTCTAGAGCCCCCAGTTGCTCCACGTTACCCTTTAATAAAGCATTACTTAAACAGGCTTCCAACTGGGCTGCATCATATTTTACTGGGATCAACTCATTAATGGTTTCCGGCATTATCTGTCCCTCTGTACAGTCTGTAAATAAAGTTTTGTCTGATATATCAATGCAAATTGTTATCAATTGTATTAAAAATTACTTTTCATGCAAAGTCTACGAATCATTAAATTATGATTTAAACACACGGGTAGTGGCAACAGATAAGCCATGAGAATAGGCCTTTCAATTCAGACATGTGTGAGAGACACAAAGATTGGGAACTGGAAGTGAATGGAAGGGAAGAAAGGTTAGGGTTAGATAGACATATTCAATACGAGAAAGGGGATGAGTCAGAGACAAAGAGGAGGACAGAGGCGATACAGACAATGTGCAGTGGTCACTGGAAAGAGTGGGAACATGGGAACTGGAAGTGAACTGGGAGGCAAGAGGAGAAACATAATCAAGAAGTCAGAAATATACTTTATTTTGGTCCATGTACAACACACAGGGTAACCTTTAATTCCTTTGCAACATATTACAAATCATTTAATGGGGAAGGTTTCCACCAGGACATTACTTTTGTCAATATTTCTTGATTGTGCGTCAGGAACAGAATGAGAAATCTCAGTAATGAAGCCAGTTAGCCCTGTAGGATTTCTTACCAACTAATGGACTTTATTATTGCCATTTTTGATAGATGCATTAGGCACCTGAAGCATGATTTTTGGGAGCATAAATTTGTCAACATGCTGCTTGATATTTTAGAAACGGTAGCATTTCTTTAAAGAAAGGTATTGTTGGGAAAGGTCCTTTACAGGAATGACAGAACACTTAATAGTCTAGGTATTGTCAGTTTTGAAAATCAGTTTGAACTTTAGCTGACATCAGAAGATATCTCAGCCATGTCAATGGTTTCAAAGACAGACACGGCTATCAAAGTTGGATTGACCCCTTTGAGTTCATTCAGACATAACATCTTAAGTGGAAGATCTGAAATAGATGCTGTCAAAATATAGCATGATGACAAACAAGGTGGCATGATAGACTCCACACTATTTACAATCTACTTCATTAATGTGGCAATTAACCTCATCAACTGTCCTCTGGTGTGAGTATTAAATACCGTCTGGATAGAACACATTTTAACCTCAGATGCCGTGGGCCAAAACTAAAGTGACTATCATAGACATCAATGTCCTGACTTCAGTATCGCTGCCCAAATTTTTAAGCCAGTCTCAATCTGTTAAATTCTGTATTAAAGAGATTCACCCTGTCCTTGAAAGCTGCCACAAATAAATCTCATATCAACCCAGACAATTCAGTTAAATATTCTATCTCTTAGATATTTTGAAGGGGATTCCCTGGAATATGCTGAGTACTTTCCACACCTTATCAATCAGGGAGAGGAGATGGTCTAGTAGAATTATCGCTGGACTGTTAATCCAGAGACCCAGATAATGTTCTGGGGACCTGGTTTCGAATCCCGCCACGGCAGATGGTGGAATTTGAATTCAATAAAATATCTGGAAGTAAGGATCTAACGATGATCATGACTCGATTGTCAGGGAAAAATCTGTCTGGTTCACTAATGGCCCTTTTAGGGAAGGAAACTGCCATCCTTACCTGGTCTGGCCTACATGTGACTCCAGACCCACAGCAACGTGGCTGACTCTTAACTGCCCTCTGGGCAATTAGGGATGGGCAATAAAATGCTGGCCTGGCCAGTGACGCCCTCATCTCGTGAATGAATAAAGAAAGGAAAAAGCCTGTCTCAAAAGGTCAACATTGGCAAAGAACGATCAGGAAAATGAAAATAAATTTAATACCAGATTGGAATACTAAAATCTCATGGTATAGAGGATAAAATATTAGCATGGATAGAAGACTGGATGGCTGGAAGAAAATAGAGAATATGTATAAAAGGTCTTCAGTGGAACAGGCTCGAGAGGCTGAATGGCTTACTCCTGTTCCAATGTCAGTTTGGCAGGATGCAATGTGTGGAGTCCCGCTAGGGTCTGTGCCAGGACCTCAACATTTTACAATTCACATCAATGACTTAGATGAGGGGAGCAAAAGCATCTTAGCTAAATTGGGAGATGACACCAAGAAAAATAGCCAAGTATGTTGTGAATACAAGTTACTTGCAGACAGGTTGAGTGAGTGGGCAAAAATTAGGCAGATGGAAAATAATGTGGGAAAATGTGAAGTCATTCAATTTAGCAAGAAGAATAAAAAAGCAAAAAAAGTGTTACTTAAATGGAAAACTATGGCACAATTCCATGATGAAGAGGGATTTAGGTGTTACACCATAAGACCATAAGTAGTAAGAGCAGGAGTAGGCCATTCAGCCCCTTGAGCCTGCTCTGCCCAGCAATAGGATTATGGCTGATCA